CCGCATTTTGTACTGTTTCTACATTTTGAGGGCCAAATCAGTATTTTCCACTCCTTATAATATATTTTTTACATCATGTAATTTACTTACAATACCAGGTACACATATTTATTATTTAGATATATGTCTTTTCCTTTATCTCACCTCTTTTAAATCTACACCTCCATTTTACATACACTGCATGGTTAGGAGAGGGGCAAACTAAGATTGCGTGATGAACATGGACCAACTAGTGGATGCGCAATAATTCACATCAATTGTAATGCGATGCCTATAACCTCTAACTTATTTACAATAGAATATACATTCATTCACTTATTAAATGTGATTTTGTTTCTCTCATCTTTCCCTAATTCCGCTCGACGCTTTACTTGAATACATACCCTTGGATCTTTGAATAACTACTATCCCATTATAGTCCATCACTGAAAAGCTGAATGCTCACACACACACACACACACACACATACGGTACAACTTCACTATTCTTCTATCATCTTCATATTATGTCTTTTAATGACTCTAATTTCATTCTTCATTTTACAAATGTGCATTGGGTGACAAATGATTGGCCACAGTTGCTGATATGGTTCAGTCACGTTATCTTGGTCTGTTAATACGCTTTATGTTTCACCGAACTCGGAGAGCATAGTTGCTTCTGCTATTAAGTTGCACGACAAATCTGGCAACGTGAGATGATGAATTTCCTCTGTTTGCTTCTACCTTACCACCTGCCTTGCACGCATTTAAAATGGATACTCAGTTTCAAAATGCATACAACACTCTCATACCTAGTTTTAAAATGCATACAACACTCTCACTGCACTGTTTGCTTTCTTCCTTATTCACGTAACACCATACCCCAACTCTCTCCACCCAGTTTCCTGTCAATTGCTACCTTCAACAGGAAGCCTACTCTCTTCTCTCAGTTTTGTTTTGTACGGCTAATTCAAATTCTCTTCCCTCAGTTTTGTTTTGTACGGCTACTTCAGATTTTCAACTTGATTTTCAAATTTTCAATTCTTCCGTTTGTTCTAAACGGATCCCATTAGGGTTAAACATTTTTTTTTGAAACGGCGTTGTTTTTTGCCCCTGCTTAAGGCTTCCTGACGTGGATCATTTCTCGCCTGACGTTTGTGCTTGAGAGGTCCCGTACGTACCGTTCTGAAATAATTGCACTTGGAACTGTTCCTGCCCCTAATGCACTGGCTTAAATGCATGATGTGCGACCTGTTATTGGTCTTAAAGAAAATTGTATGCATTTTTTTTTAATATAAGTGAAAGGTTTCGAATTCGGTACCTCTCACTTGTACTCTTTCTCTCCAATCCATTCTTCTCCCAAATCATATGCGTTAATCAAATTAGATGTTACAACTTGTATAATAAATTGTATATTGAATATCTTGTATTATAATGAATTGTAGTCCAACGGTTGGTAGAGGTTCTCCACATGAATATCTTTATTAATTAATTATTATTATTATTATTATTTTTTGCTTTTTGGTCGTGAACTTAATTAAATGTACATCAAACAACAACCACAAGTATTCAATGGATGTACTAACGGGTCTTTTTGTCCGAAGGTACTAACACGCATCCGAACAAATGCTCTTGACTGGATTTGATTTTCAGAAGCAGAACAACTATCTATTCTTGTTTTTATGCGTTTTTGTTTTAAAAAAAAATTAATTTTCGACGTCCATGATCAAGTCAGATTAGCCGTAGCCCGATGAATTAACGGTTGAGGATTCGTTATATTACTATAGAAGGTAACTAAATGAGGATTTTTATTGGACACCGAAGATGTCTTAAAAGTATTATCCCAAGCCAATAATTGACTCTTACCAATGCAATTGTTTTGCCTCTTATCTTGGATCTTCAAGTGCTATCATTGGTAACAGAGTTCAGCAATTACTCTTAAGAGCTAAAAATCCTTTATTTCCGCGTTTAGAGCTTAAATGCTGTCATTTGTAATTGTTGAGTTGCAAGCTTGCTAATTTCATGATAAAGTGGATTTTTAGTCTAAAACCCTTTATCACCCTTCACATCTTCACATACTGCCATCTGAAGACGAGTTTTAACACTTATGTATAAATGATAAAAGTGAATTGAGATTGTTAGTACCTAAACACGCATAGCAAAAGCATATATGAAACATATAAAAATATGTAGGAGAAGAGAAATTTATTATAATAAAATGAATAATAATCACATCCGACTCTCATATTGGGATAGGCATAAATTCTAGACATAATTACCTTTACAAACACCAAGACTCTCACTAATTTTTCATAATTATCGTCTCACTCTTCTCAATTGAAAACAATAACTAAACACCTTCCATACTGCACATGGTACTTAGTAGGAAATTACTGTATACTAAGACAAAAAATTACCAAATAATTATTCTATATCTTAAACAATTAAACTACCAAAATTTGACTGTACTTCTAATTTAGAAATTAAAAACAGCTACTACCAAGAAGTTTGGTTTAATTATGTTACAGAGATTGTTTAAGATTTCACCAACTCCCCCCCCCCCCCCGGGCCTATGTTCTTTGCTATGATGCCATTGCAATCACAGTTGGAAGATAAATTCTTCAATCTTACATAGAAAGTCACTCGTGTTAGTTTATTTTCAAACATTCTTTAGAACAATCATTTAAGCAACTTTAATCACATAATAACTAATCCTCCATTTAATCATTTAATAACCCCCCACCCCATCTTCTATCTCTCTCTCTCTCTCTCTTCTAACTTTTTGTGCTTTACAAGAACATGTGTTGCATTTTCATGTTGGTCTGACCTCATATTTCACTTATTAGTTTATTACAGATTACAACGCATCAAAGAGGCTACCACCAAAAAAATTTTTAAAAAAAAGGGACAAAAAGAGTGACAACTGAAAATTAATGGCTAGATTCAGATTTCACAAGGAATGACAATGAAACAAGTGACTCAATCAAATGTTCTATTCGAGTTTGAGCCAAACTCGAACTGTTTGAATCATAGTTATTAAATATGGCATGAATTAGTGATTCAACTGTGTAACTAACTAATGATCCGGTCACTTAGTTTGGGTCAGAAGTCTAATCGGAAAAGAAGCAGACTTGTTGATTGGTCAATAACTCGTTGCCTGAACTAGGTTAAATCGGGAATGCAATGGATTTTTGAACAACCGGCAGGCTCTTTAGATTTTGTAAGAAAAATATTAGTGGAGTGCTGATAACAAGATTAGAATACAAAACCTGTGCATGTTTTATTAGTGCAGGAAAAGTTTTAATGGAGTGTCAGTTAAATCTCTCATTTGTTTTTTTAATGTCTATAGTGTATTCTTGTATTAAAAATTAAGAGAAATTATATTTGAATATATCTTAATGGCCGACCGATTCAATCACCCACCTACTGGTTAGACGAATAACCAATTGACCCGCCACTTCACACTTTCTAGAGTCGATTTTGAACTTTAATAGGTTCAGTTCGAAAGCTTATATATCCAAAATCTTGTTCAAAAACTCAAATTCTGACTGGAGCTTGACCTTGATTTAAGCTTTCTTTCCTTTCTCAAGTTAGCACGAGCTCAAGTTCCTCCAAGTTTATTTGAGTCACTTTCGAGCGCATGAATATGTAATTGGTTGATCTCCAACTAGAGCTCGAGCTCAGGTAAGTATGTTTGTGTTTGAACTGAAATATACTAATATCGAAACTCGTTGAACTCATTGCCACTCCTATATTTCATTGAGTTTATTTTGATTGCTTCATAGAGAGAGAGAGAGAGAGAGAGAGAGAGAGAGAGAGAGGAGAAAATAAAAAATAAAAAATGAAAAACAAAGAAGTGTCATAAGTAAAAATAGATTCTCTAGTGTTTGTATACAGGACCAACTATGAGCGTCAAGCAATCTTAACATACACAGTGCGCTTAGGCAAATAACTAGTAATCATATACGTAAATTATTATCGACCATGTGATCTAAATTTTGTGTAACTAACAAATTTCAACAACCAAAAGCGGGGAAAAATTATCAGTAAAAGAATTTGAAAAATGAGCCAAAACATATCTCCATATTTAGCATGTCTTACCTCTGTATCGATTTAACCAAGGTCTTGAAGTTGCGGAAATATTGATAAAGTAACAATAAAATTAAGAAACTAGCAAATCTCTAAAAAAAATGAGCGAAAACCTTTCAGTTAAAATTTGATAAATTACATAAAATGAAGAAAAATTTCAGGAAAAGATATTACATAATCTCAGTTAATTCGTCTTCAGATAAAATATCAATCACACGAGAAGAAACTATCATATATTCACGTAGTATAGTAGTATAACTAGCAATCATTACCAGTTTCGTGGATAACAACGTATGGAAAACTATTCATCCTTGCTTAAATCTGTAAATTTAAAATACAGCTCACAAGTTGGCCTTTTCATTTATGTTTTTCTGTGCAAACTAAATTTAACAACAAAAATTTTATGAATAAAGTGGTGCCACCACAGTGCTTGTCAGATTTGGCATTCCAAATGCAAAATGAAATTGCGCACAACTATGCTACAACCACTTGGGTCTTGTCTTCGATTGCTTTAAATTTTATAAAATCTGATTATAGAGAATCAGCAAAAGTTACTATTTGAGTGATTATAGATTTTAACTTTTTAATCATTAAAAAAATTCATAACCAAAATACAAAAATAATCGAGAACATTATAAAAACTGATTATCCAAAAATAGAATCTATAATTAATTAAAATAATCAACCGAGAACAAGAAAACTTTTAGAACTTATTACAATTCCACCCAATTAACTGCTTCAGCACCAAGGCAATACTTTGAAATTGCAATGTATTAAGATGTTACCAGAAACATTAGTCAAGGCATGGAATCTGGAATTACTCGAATAGTATGTAATCACAGTATTAGTGTCCTTAATTCCACAATTATCCTTGAAACTAGTAAATGATGAGAGCAAAGTAGCCTTTAAGATTCTAATTGTATGCTCAACCAATTTGCCACTACAACATAAATAATTTGATTCCATGTATAAACTTGCGTCTTTTCATTTTGCAATACAAGATATATACAACTTTCACTATAGATCTCTATGTACAAAAAAGAAATCCTGTACCTCCTGTATAATCCTCTTGTAAGTTCTAACCACCCTTAAGAATCAAATTCCAAGATCAAAAGAAGGAGAACCTAGAAGAGAAGGGTTTACTGGCACTGGTTCAGCAATAGGTACCTGATTCTGTTTTGAGTAGTCCGTTTTGAATCCAAGTAATTTGGCAGCTTGTTCTTCTATAGCATCAAGATCAATGGCATTGTAGAATTGATCGTCATCAAAGATATTCCTGTTTTCTGTGATATCATTGTCCAGAAACGTTTTGCTATTTTCTTGAATTTTGTCGGTTTGTTCATGCAACATAGAGTCGTGTCCAGAAGCGACAGAACCAACGAAAAACTCTTTTTCTAAGTTATGTACTGGTAAGAAACCAGATTTATAGAATAATTTTCTCTTTCGATTCTCCATCTTGCTTTTTTCTTCTTTTGGAGAAGTAGTAATTCTGGAGAGCAAAGCATCTGAGGAAACTCTGTCAAGATTGAAATGGAGGGATGCTGAATTCCTGGCGGTAGACTCTAAGCCATTCTCAGGCTTTTGAACCAAATGACTTTCTGATCCTGAAGTGCTTGTTCTTTCATTTCTTGGAACATCAGAACTAGGAGTAAAATGTTCAGAGAAATTTGCCACTCCTACTAATGGTGATTGACTGAGCAAGGAACGCCTGTGTCAAAAGATTAACTAGACTTAAAAAAGAGCACATTCAAGCTCATATTACGGGAACCAAAAATGAAGTTATTTGCTTCAATCCACCAAATCATTAAGCATTTGTTAGAAATATAAAGATCAGAAGAAAGCTTGAAGATTTACCATGAAAAAAACCATGGTTGTACAAATTTGTACAGCTGGCAACCCAATTTAACCAGAAAAAAGGGTACGAGATATAACAAGATAGAGGAGATAATAAACTGGTCCCAGTTTACAAAAGAGAACCGCAGGGAATAAATATATCAGGAGCCAAAGATTTGGTAGACGTATGTTCAAAAAGCACATAGTTGTAACATGTCAGTAGAAAGCTAGAACCTTAGAAACTAAACAGGCTGGGAAAACAAAAGGTCTATATTCCAGACTTATTTTTTCAACCCATAACTATTATGACCAAAAGAGCTACTTCAAACTGTTGCTCACATCTGTTAAACTACCTCGCTTGAACACTCATTTTGGTATAAATATGCCATGTATGCATGAAATAACCATATTATCAATAGAGAAGACAGCTTAATATTCAGCGTAACTAGGATTAAAGATACTTGAATAATGCATGCTGCATATTCATATCCTCCCTAGACTGAATTATACTAGGTTATGCAATGCCCAAGCCCCTCATGTACAAAATGTAAAGCCAGTTAAATAGCACTTAGCAAATATTAACTGGCAATGAAGCAAGGCATATGGGAAAAAATAAAAGCAAATCTAACAAGATCAAGAAAAACTTTACAAACCTGTAAACAGCCATCATATCAATACCACTCTCTTCTGCTTGAGTACTTTTTGCTGTAGGATTTATTCTATCATCAATAAAACTATCTTCGTATGAATTGTCCTCCTGCTCATCTTCCTCATCAGAAGATACCATAACCTCCAAAGATACCCTGAAATGACAACAGGAAATTTTATTCAATAGCACCAGAACAAGTACAATGAAGTGTTAGTGTTTCTTTGAGACCAAAGAATAGATTGGCAAATACTGATGTTCAAGGCAAGAATTTAAAATTACTCCTGTACAAGATGTATTCAGTGATTATCAACATAACGTGACATTCTATTTTTAAGTACTAGCAGAAATCTTATCTCATTTTTCCCACTTTGAGTTGCAACTCAGTTTTCTGTACAGTTGCCCTTAATTAAGCAAAATACAGTTACCATAATGTTTGTTGAACTTGTTTGTACAGTTCACTAGGATTGTCCAGCTTGCATTCAGATTTACTCATTTCTAATGATTTTCAAAATAAGATCAATTCATTTTTTAATCTTTCAATCTTAATGTTGAACTTCAAGTTTCTTCTATCATAGGATTAGCTAAACATATTGTAATTCGTGCCTAAAGTGTCAACAGAATTATTTTATTACATGCCAAAAGTGCCTTAGAAAAGCTAAGGTAACATACTTAAATTAGTTTCTCAAGCAACACGTCATGTATAATTTATCAATAGGTAGTCCTCACCCTCTTCTAGTTTTTTGGGTGAAGAAACTTTTCATTGCTCAAAAAGTCTCCCAAAATTTTGCTCTGGTACCATGTCAATGTAATTGGGAAGAAGACACTCTGTTTCCCAGTTTGGGAGACTTACCAGCATTTACAATAGAGGTGCAAAATTATGAATCACAATACTTCTCTTAACAACCATATCTGCCAAAATTTTCCTTCTCTTATGATTTTAAATGTTCTTAAATTCTTGTCACACCAATGCTTATTTATCAGTCCAAGTTTTCCTCAGGTTTACTATGCAATATAGATGTAAAAACTCACAAGACCAACCAAAAACATATAAGGTTGCTTTCAAGGAGATTCTCTTCCTATCCAGTTTCGTGGACAACAGATGTGCTAAAGATACAAAAGAATATTTCAAACTGTCCTTCTGCATCGTTTTATCTTTTAATATTCTCTAGTAGATTCACTTAAGTTTGCAGGATGCCTTCTTACTTTTCTACTATTGCTGCTCCTATGTAGCACATCCAAAGCATGCATCACTTATCGATGAACATGATTCTTCTGAACCTCCCATTAACTCTTATACAACATGATCAGCCAGATAATCATACTTCCAAATCTCCTTAGTATGATTAACCCATGGAAAAGGAAAACTAAAAATAAAAGCTGTACACATATAACTATATTTACATGTGGAAATTGAAATAATATATACTTACTCTGCTTCATCTTCAACAAACACTTTGGCTCTATTTGAGATGAACTTCGCGCCTGCATGTAACAGCATCAAAGTGTGAAATTAGCAATTGTCAGTCAAAATTTGACTTGTAGTAACTTGCAATTCCCAGTAGCTTTTTACGTCTGGAAGACTTTCAGAAATCAAGGAAGATGTACCACCTTGATAGCATGACAATCCTGGAATGCAAGTAGGAATAAAGTTAAAATAGTTACCTCTATGATGATGATTCTGACCATCATCTGCACCAACAGAAGAACTTGTGAAGTTTCTGGTGGGGCCACTTGTCTGTTCTTTGCAATCCTGAGGCTTAGCCCTACAGAGATCTCCATGCTTGCGCAATCTTTTAAACTTGCATCTTTGTTTAACACCATGTGAATTTCCTCCTGGATTCAATTGCCAGTCTTTGCTAAAGCCAATGTCTGGTGATTTAATGAAAGGAGATCGACATTCATCAACAGTTGGAGTTCTAAATTTGCTTGCTGGAGTACTATTCTTCATTTGTTTTGCAGAAATATCATTGGTCAGCGAAGAAATGACATTAATTTCATTCTGCCCCAAATACTTCACTACTGACTGTGCATGGACCATGGGGGTTGAAACAAGATCTGGTACCATAATATCATCTCTTTGAATCTCCGGCATTCCTAAAGAACATAGGATTATTACCATAATTTGGACTTGGGAGTTAGTGTAACTATTTAGACAAGCATTGAGTAATGGAACATACATACCACTACTGCTTATAGGAGATTCTGGAACAATACCGGACTCCATAAAGTTAGTAAGCCTGGGACTAAACTCAACATCCATTGGATCATCATTGGCCTCAGCAGCAAACAACATAGGTGCTCTATCTTCAGGACTATTATTAATACTCTCACCTCCATCTGACATTGGCTTGGGAATTGGAGTCTCAAGAATAATCTCTCCTAAAGTTTTTTCTCCTGATGCATTACAGCTGTTTAATTTAAATGCACAATCTTTGTCATCTTGACTGGATCTTATCTGGGATATAGAATCATCTTTTGCATTCCCCACACGTTCTTCGCATACATAAGTGGAAGCATCAATGCATGCAATATTTTGTTTCAGATGATAGAATGGAGCTGCTCTGCTGGTAGTCATAATTTTAGAAAGCAGAACTTCTTTCACTGGAAATTGTGACACAGATAAAACCTGTACTGTCCCAAGATCATCTACAGATATCAATCCAGAGCTGAAGAGAAAGGAATGGACCAAGTTTTTACATTGAGAACCTTGAGAACCTAGCGCATAGGAATCCTCTCTAGTTCTTAAATCCTCTTTGGGTTCTAAACTAGCCAGTGAAACTTCTCTTATGCAATCCTCTATAGGAAAGTCCCCAGAAGTGCTTGTTTCTGTAAGAAAAGCTTCAAAAAATTATGTAGCATAAATGTAATGGCTTTTTTGGTGGGCATATAACAAAGAATTGTAGGACAGACTAAGATCCAATCGCACATTCAAATATTAAAGTACAAAATTACATAAAAAGATAAACTAGCTGAAAGATTTGACTGGATATTATTGATCAAGTGAGGTTAGGGAAAAATGTACTCTTATGAGAACCCGAATATTCTCAGAATCAAAACAAGCTCAAACTAAACTTCAAAAATTACATAGCCGTCATACAAGTCACAATGTGACATTAGGATGACCATAAAAGAATCATACGATGGATGACATCTGGTGGAACACAAACACTAGTAAATGCTTTAGTTTTCTGATTAAAATGCAACTGCTAATCCAAAATTTGCTAGAGGAATACTTTGGTTGGAGAGAAAGCACTGTGGCCATGTTAGATTCTCTTTTTGATGTACTCCATTTTTTTTCCTAATAAAACAGTTTAGGTGTATGACAGACCTTCTCGGTCTTGGTTACTTTCTAAAACCTAATGACTTATGAACAGACTAAAACAGGAGAAATTTAATGATAGGTGAACTTGGTCTATAGGTCCATGAAATGAAACTGCTGTGACTGCAATTTGAAGTGGATTGACGTTGGCAAGGAAACTTGTAACCCACTTTGAAAATATTAGAACACTTTTTCCTTTCCCTTTTCTGCCAAACTTCAGCATCAGAGAGAGAAAACAACAAATAATTTTGAATGAATAGTAAATTTCAGACAGACCAGCATAACATTCAAATGAGTATGTAAAGGGTACAGATCGTAGGATGCTATTGAATGCAAGGAGATTTAAACCAACTGTTGAATGTGGATAAAAAGGTTTCAGCAGCAACCTTTACACTTTGATAGCAACTATTGATGTCATGAATTTCTCTAAATTCAAGGAGTTGCATGCCGAGAAGATGCAGTTATGCACCAAGACTTCTCTTCTGAGAATTCAATTAAGAAAAAGGAAAAATTGAGCGGCCTATTAGCTGTCTATTACATCCTTACCTTTAATTTTGCCATTACACTGTTCAAGAGCTTCACTTGCTGAGCATGGTTCTGGAGAGGCACTATCCTGAACAATGCAAATAAAGTGAACAAATAGCGACAATTCAACATAAGACAGCAAAACTACCAAAGAGACAGACCTCAACTTTAACAGCTGTACTGCATGTAGAAAATGGTAATCCTTGTAAACATTGCATTGCATCTATTAGAATCCCTGTCCTAAATGAATGCAGCACTTTGTGTACTCTGGACGGAAATGCTTGGAAATGAGGAAAGGCAATAAGTGATGGTTTCCAAGTGTTTTCCCTGGTGGTGCTGAAATATTTAGATATTAAGTCATTCTCAGCATCTGTTAACTTGGCTTTATATGCAGGCGACTGGATTGGCTGGTCATCATCATTCACTTTCTTTACACGTGGAACAAACTGTTCAATTGAAAGCTCTACAAACTGGACCTCTGGTTTGAAAACATGGGGAATCTGCAACGTTGAAAATAGATAATCAGAAATGAAGAAGTAAGAACATCATGAAACTATAACAATCCGGTACTATAACAAACCGGTACAATCTTAACGTACCATCCTCGGACTTGAATGAAATTGGAAACTATTTGCTCCCCCGTTTCTCATGTGCTTCTTAATAGCCTTGCTATTGGCTTGTTTCCTCATGTAACCCTTTAATTCAGACCCCTCACAAGCTAAAACAAGTAAAGCTTGTTAAGAAAAATGTGGGCAAAGATGAAAACTGCTACTATTTTTTAATGACTTCAAAAGCATAAAGAAATGCACCACATATCCAGTTTTACATGACGCGCTATTTTAAATGACCCTAAGTTTTACATAGTTCATAAAGGCAAAATTTATCCATCAATATTACAAGTAATTGGACCAAAACGATAATACTATTAGCTCCCACTGCCCCCACATTTCCCAAACTTTTTATTTTCCTAGACAACATTTTCAACTTTGACCTAAAATATTCAACTAATGCAATGCAAAATCAGATGGAGTGAACCCAATCAGTATCAAATACGAGATGCCCATTAACTAGATTAGACAAGGATATCTACTCGTCCTTCATGCTTTCTTCCAGTTCTGCCCATGCGCTGAATCATTCTCAATGGTGAGATGTTAGCATCAAAGCATATAACAAGATCAACTTCCATTATATCTAAACCTTCTTCACCAATTGAAGTTGCAACAATGACATTGTACCCACCGGTTCTAAATTTCTACATGGAAATGTCGAAGTTAGGCAATATACCATGGCGAAATTATCAATTCAAACATCGGAAAAAAGGGAAAAAAAACCTGCAAAACAGCTTGTTGAACTTTCTGTGACTGGCCCTTTAATGCTTTACCTGCAGAAACCAACAAAGAGAATAATCATAAATATTCACGTTTAGTCTGGGTAACTATTTACCTTCCAAGTAAACAAGGAGAAAAACTACTCAGAATATATGGAGGGCAAGGTGTTTCCAATTGCATGTTAAAAATGGATACAAAAGTACTTTTGCATCTCATCTGCAGCTATACATTTTTTTAGCCAAAACTGACACAGTCTTGTCAGCTAAATTCTTTGAGAATGTATATCTAGCAGCATGAGATGACCAAAAGTCAAGAATTCTTTAGCAGTAAGGATTATTCTTCTATGCAGTGACAATGTAAAAAATTTTGCACAAGCAAATCCAAGTGCATACCATGTATACAAAAAGAGCTTTCCAGGTCTTTAGTAGGAGCTTTTTCTCAAAATTTGTTAGGATTATGTAGCATGAGTCATAGAACTTGTCATTGTTTGCAAAATTTGACTACGGAAAGTGATTATAAAGAAATATCACAATCAGCTAAACCTACACTTTGGTAGATACTAAATTTTAGCTTATTTGCCTATTAAGAAATAAAAAAATCTAGATGCAAAAGCAAAAGAGAACATAAAAAAAAACTGATTATTCAAAATCAGAATCTTACAATCAGGTGACAATCAACTGAGAACAAGCCCTAAGATTAATCCTAGGAGTAAATATAATAAATATAGTAAACCACCAGTGCGCTAACGGTGATCTACACCCTGTAGATGCCCTATATTTGCACATTATGGTGGACATAAAGGCACAAATGTTAGCAAGCATACTCAAGCATTCCAACATTACAACGTAGGAACTGCTTTCATTAAGAAAAGAAAGCGGATCCCAATTGCCATGCAGATAATGTCTATTTGCCCTGCTTATGAGTTTCTTTTTCTTTTCCTAGTGAAAGAAGACTGAGGTTACCAACTTCTTTCAGCAAGCATCCTCACTAGATGATAATAATGTTTACCCAAACAGCATTGAGCTAAATAATAATGGCAGTTTCATAACTTTATTAACATCAGATCCAAAAACAACAGGAAAGCAATGGTGTGCAAATCAGAAAAGCAACATGTACAAGGAGAAAGGGCTAATGGAATAATTAGGAAACACAAGGAGGCAAATAGAAAATTTTAAAGAAGTGGTTACCCATTTAACCAATGTAGATTAGGCTGATAGGTGCCAGGAAAACTAGAAAATGAGATCAAAAGCATCATCTGTTCTCAAAGACAATGATAAATGAAAGTGCCAAGAATGCAAACCTGAAGTCTGACCCACGAACTCAGTAGCTTTTACAAATTCCCCAATGTCTTTTAATGCATTCATTATATCCCTGAAATCAAAATCGATAACAGCAAATGTTACAAGGTGTAAGAACATAAATTAGACTCTACGATTTTCAAGTCTAGAATCAGAGTTTTTCCAAATAAAGAATGAATATATCATGTATTCATCTGACCTTACACTTCCCCTGAAATTTGAGAAAATTATAACCCTTGACTCAAGTGGATCTTTCATTTCTGCCCAAGCCCAAAAAAAAAAATGGTCAGAATATCCATATAAGAGTGTCTCTAGTCTTTTTTGCACACATAATGTAAAGAAGCAGCGAAAATGGCCCACAAATCCTCTACGGTCTATGTATCAGTAGAGCTTAAACTACAACTGAAGTTTCATGACAAATATTTGAGTTAAAGGCTCAATGTGAAGCTCGGAAACCGTTTCCACAATAAGTACAGAGATGTAATAGATGTATTTGCAGTTAAAGGTTCAATGTGAAGCTCAGAAACCGTTTCCGCAATAACTACAATGTATTTGCAGGTCACACTAAACTGAACAAAATACATATTGCATTGTCAAAATTTGGAATTTTTTACCACATAGCTAACAATCCTTTATTTTACTATGAAAGAATCCACAACATGTGGTGAATAAGCTTCATCATTTAGTACATCAAACTTGATAATCCATCCAACTTTCTCACCTAACATACCCATCAATCTCATCCAACTGAGCAATTCTTCCACTTTATACATGCACCCAGTGAGGCCCTGATAATTCAAACAGGTATACAGTGGCTTAGAGCTTTCTATCCCGCATTAATTTTCAAACAATCTATTCAGTATGGTTGTGCCTTAGATCACTGTTGATTCAATGAACAAGTTAGCATGATTATTTTCTGTGTTATTATACTATCTTGCCAAATTACCTATGTATCGCCATTTTTCCATTAGATTATAAGTCAAATTCAGAGGCAAAAAAAAAAACTCAAATATATCCAATTTGCTTCCAAAAGGTTGCTGTTAATGTCCTATCCCTTGTCTCAAATATGTGCACAATTACAATAATCAAATTGTTGAATAACTGCACAAACTTGTAACAAGTACTTAGTCACATCCTTGTGTTAACTTCACCAAGTTTTTTATGTTCACCAAATTGCTGCTGACATGCACATGGGAACTTTGGTCAGGAAAAAGAACAAGAATATTCCTAGGACTAAAAAAGAATACAAAAAACAACAAAAGTGGAAGTAAAAAAAGAACTTTTTGTCACTGTTAATGCTTCCCTAAGCAGTACAGATGCATGTCACCATTTTAACCCAACTAAAATAACAGGAAAAAAAAAAAAGAAGTTTCAATGCCAGAACACAACAGTACCACTTTCAAACCATTCCAGATATCCAACAAATCTAAGTTACCTAGCAAAGCTGGAAGAAATCAATAGGTAGTCCATAAATAAATAAATAAAAAGAGTTAACATTTTGTCACGTTACATACTAAAATGATCCACCAAGACTTCCAGCAATTTTGACAATTTGGGACTAGGAGCTCCATGAGATATGCTTTGCTGCATTAGAAGTTTTGCTTTTAGAAGAACTTCATTCCAACTCATAAAACGTGCAAAAGACCTGCAAAAAATTTTGCTTGAATTGTAAGATAAGACATTCACAGCTTACTAGAATGGAAACGGATGTGCATACATACCAAAATGATGAATGTTGTGCCTTTAAAAAAAATTAAATTAAAAGAAAGAAATAGTGGGAACTAATGTTGACTTGACATTTTTAGAATATCTAATCCTGCATCTTCAAAGAAATGTAGCAGAAAACACTACCCCTGTTGCAATTTTTCTGCAAGCATCTCAAATGCAGGCTTTATACCATGGCTAGACAGCAATTTCCTGATGTGGTACAGCGTTATGAGTACACCAAAATATCCTTCAACTTCTCCATACTTAATATGAGGCAGGTTTTCTGGTGGTGCTTCCCGAAATTTGTCCCTCGAGTTGAGTAAATCACATGGGCTTAACTGTCATTTAGCAACAAGTTTAAAGAGAATCACGAGCCTTCTTAACTATGAGGAACAAAGTCATTGCAATTAATTTGCTAGAAAGGTCAAGAGCTGATGAAACTGATAAGAAAATTCAATACTGAAAAGGATTAATAAAATGGTGAAATGCATAAAGAAAGAAAAATAACAACAGAACTATTTTGCAAGCTAACTAGATTACATTTGGTCATATAATTCCTATATGCGTATAATAGAGCAAAAGTTTACTTGAAGGTAATTTGCAGCTGAAGGTACCTTCAAGGAAATGCTGAGTATCTGTTACTATCTCAGTACACATACTGAGCATACAAAAATAAAAAACATCCACAAGTTTTCTAGCTTTCCAATTGTCCCATCCTACCATGCCATTATTTAAAAAAAAAAAGAATAATCAAAATTTGCCAAGATCAAATCCTATTGGAAAATCTACAGCAGATGAGAGAATGGAGCTTTAACATTTTCAATATTGTCTGACAGATCTGTAACAGAAAACAGACACTTAGTCATGCTTGATAAGCACTTATAGATCAGCCCATAGCTAAATTTTTGTGGAACTACAGGTAAAACCATGACATTTGAGAATTTAGACTATAATGAAATAAACTGAATATCTATTGGAAAGAAAAGAAAAAGAACTGGAATTTACATCAAACTCCTGCTGCATAATTCCTACAAGAAAAATAACTATTGCGGCAACAAAATAAGAGTGAAACAACAAGAGTTCATGGACTCCACCAAACAAAAAAGAAAAAAAAAAAGGATCAATAACCTAGCCAACTATATTTTTGAACAAAAAGAAGCATACCGTCTGGCAATCTCTATTTTTAAGTACCCCGATTGCAGAAAGCCGAGCAACATAAGGGCGTATTACTTCCAAGATCAAATTATTTATTTCAACCGCATCATTGCCCATAGACACAAAGCAACTTCCTGTTTCTTGCTCATGCTCAAAAATAGATATATCTATCTAGGTGTGTAAAATTACTGAGATACAACATGACAGTCATAATGACAATCTGAGTCATGCACACAATTACATCAACCATGATTCAAGATTGCACCCTTTTCTCCCCTGCTCGCAAACTCTTTCCTCTTCTTGGGTTCCTTAGCTTTGATTTGTCCAAAGTTCAGATGAAGTGTCAGACAGAGATCCCATACCACCACAAGTTAGTGTCATGTCTGACACAGGTACTGGTGAGGAAGAGAACTAGCCCTGAGAATAGATTTTAAAACAGGAGAAAAACAAAAAGGAAATATGCTAGGAGAGAAAGCTACCGAGGTGACGTCTTACAGAAAAATTTTCAGCAGAGGATCTAAGGAACCTAACCTATTCCAAGGATATGTCAACTTACAAGGCCCTGTGGAATTGACTTAAGTGCATGCTTTGTTGTACCAACCTTAGTCAAATTAGCTGCCTTTCAAGGAAAACAGCTTCCTCATGCAGTCCCTTTAACGACCCTATACCACTTTGCAGAAAGGTAAAAGTTCCCAACTTTCTACTTGTTTACAAATGTTTAAATGCTGCATGAACTCCTACCTTGAAGCTAATTTCCAAATTGCCCACAAGGGCTCAAATTAGAAACATGTCATCTCTGTTTCTCCAACCTTGGAGAGAGGAGATAGAGGAAGAAAAATAATTCAACTGGAAAGCTTTTATACAAAAAAGTGAATTATCAAGAGATTTCTCTCAAACCACCACAGCAGACCAGTGACAATAAACACAAAATGCTATACATTTGAGGAGTATGTATCAGCTGAATTTAGTAAAGCACATTACACAATCACCTCAACCAATTTAAAAGATGACCCTACAGAACAAACATTATAGTAAAACAATTCATGTAAGAGATACGGAGCAAACCTCACGAACTGCAACACAATACGAATAGTTGCCTGTTGCACGATGAGCCTCGTCAACCACTAAACAGACAAGATGCTTCACCAAACATGAACCTACAAGATATCGCTCCCTTAGCATAATATGTAAACATATTGCTTCAATATATTCAGTTTCTTCAATCGGCAAGTGAAGTCTGATATTTTCATAGCACCTAGAGAGATAGATATGAAATCCAATTCCAACATTTCCAGCACTAAATCCCAAAATAGAATGGAATGCATAACCGCTCTTGTTGACTACAAGCAGAACAGATGTAACAGAGAAGACAGAAGAAAGATAAACAAGCCAAATTTTAATGTCCAACCATCAGAAATCATTCAGCATTGCTCAATATCCCATTCTCTTTTGACACCATGCACTTAGAGGTTTTTGTTTTTTGAACCTCAAACTTCTGCACCAATGAAATTAACAGAATCTTTATAAGTGGAATCTTGTTAGCTCTGAAATAACTTGCACAAAGCACCTTAACAATTAACGGGCTTTAACTATCATTTTACTTCTAGAGAGACTAATGAATGAATTTTGTTAAGCAACCAATTTAGTTTTATACAGTAATTTCTCATAACTGCTATATATTCAACAATTCCCACAAGAACGTTAATCTTTTAATCTCCTAAATTATACTTCTTGAAAGAAACATAAAGTGGTTACAAAAAGCATATAAATCGGGTCAATAAATTTCAGACTACATGGTCCTCAGTCATACAGTAAATATTGTTTCCAGAAGAAGGTTGAACTATAAATCTCCTATATTATATTTATCCAGTACAAAAAGGAAGTGAATACCAATGAAACAGGTAATCAACCACAAGCTAGTGTAAATCAGATCTATGCCACAGTCAGACATCCTATTCTCTGGACACTACCAAGTTAAAGTCAATTGTAAGCCCAATGCTAGAAGGTTGATGCTCCAAAAGCATATGCAAATTAGAGTACTCACCAGAATAAATATCTTTCTCAAGAACTTGGGGAGTAACAAAAAAAACTCGTTTACTTCTCCAATGGTCTGCTCTTCTTGTGGGACTTGTTTGACCTGTCAGATCAATAGTCCATTCCTGCAATCAGTATGATGACAATCTTCTCAGAATATGACAAAAAATGAAAAACTCTTGAGTGATGCTAGAAAAAAAAATAGCAAGTTAAATGCCATAATTGCCTTACCTGTGGTATTCCTACAACATTATGGCATGCTTCAATTTGTTGCAGTACAAGTGGTCGAGAAGGAGCTGCAAATACAATTTTTCCTACCATGAATGTAAGCACAAGAATTAGTTATTTACCACATAAAGAGGATGTATATTCACAATTTCAGGATGCAAAAAGAAACCGCCAACAAGCTTCTGACCTTGCAGCATGTTTGTCTACCACTCTTTTTCAGTGGACAAATAGAAGCACTAAAAAAGTACAGAAACACAGAGTATTTAACTGTTCAAAAATACTATTTCGAATAAGCGATCACTTTAAACAATGGACTGTCGAAAGGTCATTTACCCAAGTTAGAAAACTTCAACTTTCCCTATTAGCATATTTTGCATTTAGCATTAAATGAAGTCACAGATGCCCCGGAATAAGAAAAGCAATCATTTTTCATCCAAAATCATACAAAAATATACAATTAAATCGAAATAGTAAATAAATGGTAAAGTTAGTACAGTCTACAACCAGGCAATGTTGACTATTCTCCGGTCACCACCTTAAGCTACTTAAAGGAAATAAATGAATAAATAAATAAACATGGTGTGAAAAATTATGCCTCCTGCTAAGCAGAAGGTAATAACCCCTGAATGATAGTAAAATTAGTGTACGCCATCAGTATCATGTGAATGGAGAACACAGATAAAGCAACTTACAAAGCATTATTCTACCTTCTGGAAACCATCTGAAATAGTTATACATTACAACAGCAGCAATAAGAGTTTTCCCAAGCCCAGTAGGCAATGCCACTAAAGTGTTGGAAAACAAAGCAGTCCGCGTAATATTGAGCTGATAGTCACGAAGAGGGATATTAACTGCAACCAAACATCACATATGAAACAGTGTACAAGTGAGTGCGGAGTACAAAATCTAATCAAGAGAATCAAGATAGTTTCAATCAAAAAACATCCAACATTAGAAAAAATCTACACCTCAAATGCGGAAAGATCCGTGCTTGTTACAGTAATAAACCCCAAACACGATTACATGTCCCAGTCACTTGACAACTTAGTCAAATATGTCAAAAACTTTTTTTCCAAATATCATCATCTACTAAAACTTACACATTCCTTCCATGCTTATTCAACCCATATCTTCAAGCAAAAACGGCAATCAAACAAGCAGACATTATCATAGAATTCGAATTCCCCCACAATAATGTAAAAACCAAAAACAAATCCAAACAGAGCTTAGCCTATATCATCGAGCCAAAAAGTATACGGAAAATGATCTTGACTACTAAGTATTAAAAATAGCAATAAATAGGGATAGTAGATATTCAACCAAAAAAAAACCTGGGTAAATCCAAGTCTTAGCTGCCTCAGGATCAATCTTCACAAAGCCGACATTTTCTTCTTCATCTTCAGCTTGCCCCTTCTGTCCCTCACCACTATTACCAACATTAATCTGACAATTACTGTTAAAATTATTATTCTTGTTTTTTAAAAACCCATTGCAGTGCTTTTCCCTCTGGTGCCCATTGGAGTTTCTGGGAACAATCCCAATAAACCTATCTAGAGTCAATTGCCGGGAAGAAGAAGCAAAATAAGCAAAATTGCTCTGATTGGGCACTGATTTTTTGTGGGTTTCTTGAATTCTCGGATTTGAAGAAGTATAAGTAGGGATTTTGCAATTAATTACGTGATTAGAACCGTTATTAGCACAATAATTTGTAGAAGAAGTTGTGGTTTGAGCACAGGCCACATCAATCTCCCTCACTGCTGCCTCCCAATCAAATTCCTGCAATTTTTCACAGGGAAAAAAATTCATAAAATTGTTACTAATAGAGATGAGTCTAGAAATGGAATGGGACTTACGTCGTTATCTTGGTCGACGATGTGGAGAGGAGTGGAGGAGGAGGAGGCCATAGTTTACTCTCTGTGTGTGTGGGTGTGTGGGTGTGTGAATTTCTTGAAGGCAAGGGGAATGGGGAGCTAGAGGAGGAGGAAGCGAAAAGGGACCAGAAGGCGGCAAAATGGTGAATTTTGACCCATCAATAAAATTATTTGAAATATACATTAAAGAGAAGATGCTTAAACGGTGCCGTATTGGCACGTGAGTATGGAATTGAAGAAATAATAAACCATAGCGGGAATAGGAATTAGAAAACAAAAACTTAATAAATGCTTTCTAAATTGGGATGCAATAGTTGTAATAAGAAAGAGTACTTAGAACCAAATGATTCAGCACACAAGCTTGTTAAGACGGGTGGAAAGCTTTTGTCTTTTTTTTTTTTTTTTTAATCTTCATCTCAATTAAGAGGTAAAATCGAAGATTTGAATGGATTGCTTGACTTAGACTCTGTTTGATAATCTAATTCAGTATTTAAATTTAATAAATTCAGATATTAACTGTTCATGCGCATTTGATACTCAAAAATTAAATATTTGAATTCATTAAGTGGCACTGAATTTTTATAATAAAATTTGCTCAAAAAATAAGTGATAAATTATTTATTTATCACTTAATATAATACTCATTCAAATGTATCAGATTTAGAATGCGTTTAGTTCATGGGTTGGATGAAAGAGGATTACTTATTCTTGAATTATTCATCTTAGGTTGAGTTATTCTTGGATGAATAATCTTTGTTATCTAGTGTTTGGTTGGCTTTTTATATTAGATTGGTTGTCTGTCTTAGAAAATAATCTCATCCTATTTTTGGTTAGAGATAGGATGAGATGGGATTACTTATATATAGATCAAAACTAGGGGTGGCACCTGCGCTAAGCGCGGGAGTTGTAACCCGTGTGAGGGGAGGGATGTAGGGTGTTCTTATTGCACAGCAAATCAATCATCATATAGATATTATCAATCTTTAAATCTTAGCTTTATCAGAAACTAAGACTTGAAAGATTTCATTTAGAAGGGAATTGAACTGAACTGGAAAGGTTTAATTCAAAAACATGGAAAATTCCAAAGCAAAAAGAACTAAAAATAGATGGTTAACAAATTTTGAACAAATGGTACTGCTAAAAACGGATGGTTAACAAAAAGGAAGATGCACAATCCCTGTTCATTATAGCAATCTTTGAGCGGCATAAATGGAGAGAATTGGTGAGTCCATGAATGGACTGCAATTCATGAGCGCATGAAGATAGTGGCCGAAAGAAATGAAAAAGTCACTACAAAGATTCAGGAAAGACAAAACAATGCAATGTAAAAGTGGTCTAAGCAAAGGCGTAATTGCCTATAGGAAGGCAGCATGGACTATAAATATGTGAAGACACTACAATATTATAAGAAGCATAGCAAAGGTGTAATCGCCTATAAGTAAATACTGATAGTTCAAGCACCATGGTATTAGTTACAGCTTCAGCATTTGGTTAGATGCTCAATGGCTCCTTTTGTAAGTAGGTGGTATAGACCATCTTGCATTGTCACCAATGCTGAAGCTGTTTTATTGGAGGTAGTAGTATTTACTACTCTTGATGTGTTTTTGCATATTTGTGCCTCTTCAGGGGCGGGCCTTCTTTGCTGGTGGCTTAGCAGTTTCTAGAGAGCTTTGGACGTTAGTGACAGTAGTGTCTTCTTCAGGAATGGAGTCCATTGTTTCTGCTGGTTCTGAGGACTTGGCTTTCATAGCGAGGTCGAGTTTTGGTGGCTGGGTATTGAGCAGTTCTGCATCCTTTTGGGCTATTTTGCCATGATCAGTCTTCCATGTTGCTGATGTCTCTACGTAATTGATGGTGTATTTCATGATAGCATCTTTCTCTTCCTGGGTGAAGTTTTTGACATGAACAATGACTGCAGTGTGTATTTCTCAGTAGGTGTTGAGTAGTACATGTTTTGTGGCTTCTTCACGAGGCAGATGATCCTGTTCTTTTAGATAGCTTCTTGTATCTTTTCATGGTTGACATTGTGCTGTATGCAAGTGTAGGACAGATTCCACAAAAAAGTTAAATGGATTGTCTATGTAACAATTGAAATGTATTGTATATTGTAATAGATTAAATGTATACTTGAGCTTCCTGTCTCTGAATTTCTGCTAGGCTGAATGGCAACAGTTGTTTGCCATCGTGACCATCGATGTCCAGTGTTATTGTTGAAGTGTGATCACCGGTTCCACTGTCACCCTGCATCTGTAGCATTTGCTTTCATTTTGTTGGCTAGAGTGGTTGTTTTGACTGGAAATGTGGTTTTTTATGTGAAGTGTGTTGTACCTTGTCACAACATGTATGCGTTTGTTGCAGGATGTGCAGGGAATAATCCAGTTTGGCTTTGCCTTTAGATATTTGTTGCATGTAGGATACGCTGTGTACTACAGTCTTTGATTTGTGTCAACGAGCTTTGATATGCCGCCCATCCAAAAAGCTTTTTTCTATAGTGGTGCAGTCATTTGTTAAAACTAAAGGAAAAGAAATAAATGGACTGTTTTAAATCCAAATGTCAGTGTACGCTTACCTCATCTGTCATTAGCAAAGTCCGTATGGTAATGACAGTATCGTCAATTGGGGGAGGGAGCAACTTAGTTCGATCTTCATATGATTTGTCAAGAACCATTTGGAAATTTGAGTTTTGGTTCTCTGCACACCTTTAATCAGGAGTTTGGAATTGTAAGTTGTGTGAAATGTAAAATTGAAGAAATGAGTAGTAAGTGTTAGTTGTATACCATTTGTTGAATTCAACAATTTGAGTTATTGGAGGATTGATAAGTTTGCAACTGTTGAGCTTCGTTGACAGATTAAAGACTGTGCTATTTTTTGCACTAATATTTGTTGAGTCCAATGTTATTTGTTGACTCGACTTGAATATGAAGTTGAGGTCGAACACGAACTTTACATTGAGAGTACGTTGAGTTCAAACTCAAATTCAATATTAATAAAATTAAGTTGAAACTCAGCTCGAGATCAAAATCCAATTCGACTTGGTTCGTTTACAATCTAATCCTATGCTAGCTCTCTGAATCTTGTCTCATAAAGATATGTAAGCTAAAGATCATAACATAATGGTTCCACGTGAACTTGATTTATAAGTTTTCTCATCCATACTTTGTCTACCAATTATCTATCACCATATAACAGCGTTTTTAAACTAAACAGGATCAATCGATTCCATCCGTTGAACTGGGAATCCGGTGGGTATTTGGTTGGAGTTTATCAATTGATTTGAACAATTAAACTTGGTCAAAAATTGGATTTCAATAAAAAAAAATCGAGTTTTTAAAATTTTTTTTGTTTCTCTCTTTTTTTTTGGATACTGTTTTACATTTTTTATGCGATTGATATGTAATTTTGAGTTTTGACATCATCATAACCATGGTCCGCCATATCGTTCGAGTCCAACTTGACACAGACGAATTATAATGAGAACAGAACTTGCTGTTTTGATACCAATGTGCGATACACCAATTACAAGATTTCTTTTATATTTATAAGTATATCACAGGTTTGGAAGCTTTTCTCATGTTCTCTTCTTTTTTCTTGTTCAGATGTTTAGTTTGCGTAGCGAATTTTGAAAATGAAATCAATATTTTCACCATAGATTTGGAAGGTTTCACCATATAACAGCGAGGACAGAACCTATTTTCACTAAAGAAGACGATGCATTCAGTCTAGTGGATTTAGGAAGGATAAAGCAATTAGACTATTAAGCCAAAATTTCACTCTATTTACCAATATACCGCTGGCATCGACCGCCACGTAAGTTTAATATTATTTGATAGGTATTTTTTTTATTGTATTGAACTAAACACTCTACTTCCTCTGTGTACCGAGATTTGTATTGTATTATGTAAGATATGATGATTTTATTCTAATATATACTTTTTTATCTCATATAAAATAGAATTAAAACGTACACTTTATTCTAAAATCATTTATTGCTAATGCTATAGGCTCTTATGGTAATGACAGCATTATTTTATTTAATAATTAGTAACTATGTATGATAATGTAGGTATTTAGTAAATTCAAGTTGCTAATTGTACTTTTTATGGTATTTTCTATTTTTTTCAGATTTTTTGAAAATTTTTATATACTATAATGTGCGTATCATTCGATATTCAACCGATATGTCGCAACGGATGTGGAACAACCGAGACCGTGACGCGATCGAGATCCGTGACGGCGAACCATGATTGAGAGTGGTCTGTAACTCTCAAAATCAAGCGTCTGTCATCCCTATTGATACTGTCTTCGATGAACTTGTTTCGAAACACGTAGCATGTTTGCCCAAGGATCTAGCGAGATTGTCCAATACTTGGATTGCGGAACCTAAAATCAAACGGACGACACAATTTGATTATAGGTGGTAGAACGACGACTCCACAGAAGTGATTACTCTAATAGATAGGTCGGTAGAACAATCATGGACAAGATGCAAGATTGCTCAATAACCCTTGCCAAAGCAAGTAGAAGGCTCGATTCTCTCTCAACAAGAAGAAACAAAAATAACAAACTTTATTGATCAAACGTCTCCTCTTAATGCTTACAAAGCAAGCCTTTATATAGGCAATCTAACGAAACCCTAATGCTAGTAAAAAGGAAATAAGGGTTCAGCCAGGCCTTGGGCAAGGTGGGCCGAATCCATGACTCAACAAGCCCTACAACTAATAACTAATCCAAACAATAACTTGACGGCTCAAGACTAAAAAGGCCCAACAGTTGGCCGACTCCCTTTAATTGGAAAAACTACTTGACTAACTAGCGGGCTGGAGCCCAAACTAACAACTATCACTTGGCTCCTCATGGGTTTGGATCAATGTGTAGGTAACTTGATTAACATCCTTCAAGCCTTCAAAGTCCCGCCACTCATGCACACATTAGTCCCCTTCACTTGAGAAGGATTTGTCCTCAAATTTGGATGGAAATGAATGACATGAACAAGGATTGGTAGTATGAGTCCTTTAAATCGAGCGCCACCACACATTAGCCCTCTTTGATTGAATGATACTCGCAGACGTCATGGTTATGACAATTAAGCTCACATGTCTCTTGGTCAGTTTGAAAATGAC